TGTGGCACAGATAAGCTCATAAGTGGCCAGTCTGTTTTGACATGTGCTTGTGCAAATGGTTATGGATTGGATGTCTAAATATGAGCAAATGAAATGTCAAATACTCAGGGCATGTACAAGTCCCTCCTGGAAATCTTGATAAAACTCTTCTACTGTTTTACCTGCTATAGATTTTATGCTGGTTTTGTTTCTTATTACTGTTTACACGCATTTGCCTTTTATAAATATATAAGCGTGCATTTATTTGTAGCTAGCTGAATCATTTATAATTTTTCTTTTTAAGAGAAATGTTTTAAAATACACTCTTTAAAAAAAATTACTGTTTCTTGAATTCTTTTTTGGGGGGGTCGGGTCGTGTTTGCAGAGCAGTAATATTTTTTCAGCTTAAAGAACCCCTATTATGCATTATGAAAGGTCATGTTTTGGGCGTCCTCAATAACAGGCTGATATGCATGCAAGGTCAAAAAACACTTTTATTGTCTTTATAATATGCTTTTTTATTATTATTGTTCATTTATAATATGCATTTATTTCCTAATTATCCCAACGACTCCCATATTATTTGTTCAGCGGTTCCCAAACCCCTCCTTTGCGTGAAGCTAATCTATGCTGATTGATCCAATGACCCAGTCCCAATGCAGTTAAACACCAGCATATTACTCTACTCTTAACCCTAACCACAAGTAAAAACAACGACACACACATTCAGTAATTTCTCCACATGAGCAAAAGTTTAACTATTTTGAAAATTGTCTCGGCTACTCATGTCTTCAGGAAAAGCTGATGGTGGCCATAGCAAAGGCAAACGGCAGAGGATCGCGAGTTCAGAAACGCATTTAAATCGGTAAAGGAAGAAACATGCGTCGTGTTTTCAACGTGGTTTTGGACACAGTATGTGAACCGTTCCATACAAATTTAAACTGATACAATACAAGCACTGATCTATAATAGACACCTGATTACAAGCTGCGTGGAGTGATTACAACACAGAAATAAACATTTTTTGCAAACTGCAGAGAACAAGGCAACAATTTTATTTACACTTACATGTTATGATCTGGAGGAAGAAGAAAAGGGTCTATTTGAACTGTAAAAGTTACTGACAAAGTCACATACATAATCTCTGCTGATTCTTCCTTTAGTAACAAACGGCTGGCGAATCCCTCGTTGCAGTGTAGGTTCTTGTATCAAAAATCAGAAAAATTACAGGAACAAACACAGCATTAGGTCAGCTATACTGTGGTATTGTGACAAACTTTAACCGTTTATTCTCCACAGCCGAATCTCCCATCTGTCAGTTATTGTCCTCTTTGTCATGATCAGTCCCGTAATCCTCCGTGCTCCTCTATTGTCTGAAGGAAAAGGCGCGTTCACGTTTTACTGGATCCGCCACTTCATATTTGGTGATGTACCATATCGACGTTGGCGTGATCAAGCAAAAGATTCAAACCCAACACTGTTTATTTATTCGACCCTTGAGTTGACTATTTTATTAAAGAATCAATAGTTTTGAACATGGTGCACACTGCATGGAAGGTCGTTTTCAAAAACCCATAATAGGGGCTTGTTAAATAATGAAGATGCATGTAAGATTTATGAAAGCAAAAGTTATTACAGCTCTCTGGAGCTTGTAGATAATCACATTGTCTGGAAAGGTATAATTCATAGATACTTTTCAAAGTATACATTGCTGGTACTGCAAGCAGCAAATTTAATATCAATAATATTTCATAAAACAAGACAATGGCTTCAAGTCTCTCACATTACCCAATTATATAGGTCAGGGGTGTCCAAATTCAATCCTGATGTCCTGGAGAGTTTATCTCTAACTTGCTTAAACACACCTGCCAGGACGATCCTAGTATATTTAGTAAGAGCTTGATTAGCTGGTTCAGGTCGGTTTGATTAGGATTAGAGCTAAACTCTGCTGAACACCGGCCCTCCAGGACGGAGTTTGGACACCCTTGTTATAGGTGTAGTTTCCACACTAGGTGGTTCTTACATTTACATTTAGCAGATGCTTTTGTCCAAAGTGACTAACTATTGAGGCATTCAGGGATTCAACAAAAGGGAACACACACAAGAACTGCTAATTATACAAAGGAACTGTTCTCCACATTTCTCGAAAATGCTTGAATCACAGACATGAAATTTCAGGCCTATAAAGTACTTTAAAACAAATGTAGAGTGTAGGGTGTTATTTTAACAATTTTTCTGTTCTGCTTTGAGAAACTGAACAAAAAAAGAAAAATTCTTAATTTAAAAATCTTAAATTTTAATCTTGCACAAAAGCCTGGACAGGTTGCACATTTGATCAATATTTCAGAGACAGTATTTGAATATTACTAGTATTTTATTCAACTATTTGTATTAAGGTTCAACGAACATGACTGTTTATCATTACTATGACATTTTAATCATAAAGAGAAATGTTCAGTACAGTAAGGACTTTCATGGCGCTACATATGCTGGGGTATTAAGTACAAAGGTGCTTGATTTAAAGTAAATGGTGCTTTAGAAAGTCCTTAAATCTGCTGTTTATGGAAGTGATAACTGGTTAATGCTCAGAGAAGCGAAGCAAATATGTATTTTAATTTCTTTATCAGGTGAGCTACATTTGTTTTTATAAATTGACTTTAAAATGTTACATATTGATGCAAACCATAAAGCAGAAGCAAAGTCAACAATCTTTGAATAATCAAATTATTGTCAAGCATGCTACATAATAACCAATTGACCTGTACATTGTAAGCACAATGCCCAAAATCAACAACTATTGTACATAGAAATCAGGATCATTAGACAATGTGTGACAAATGAGAGTTAAGAAGAACAAACAGGATCAAAACAGGATCTCCCTGCTGGTAATTGTGATCATATTGTTCTGGTAAAATATTAGTTGTGATTAGTTTGTTACAAAGATGCAGATTAAATTTATATGCAGAAAAGCTGTATTGTGTAAAACATTTGTAGACCATTTATGTTTCCAATGTGTCAAAGAGAACAAAGTGGTTGCTTACTGACAAATATATATATATAAAAACGGAATTAGCCATGGTAGGAGTCACTGTAGGCCTTTTTCTTCATTAAATGACATGTGCCTTAAGATGAAGGTGAAAAGCTTTTGAAAAGATAATTCTGGCAAGTAATAATGCTCAACCATGTGATGACCAGACTTGGGCTGTGGCATTTTAGATGTTAATGTGGTCGGTGATCTAGTTTGTCCATTAATGCTGTCTCATCATGTTCATTTTTGTTATCTCGTAATCTGTTAAAATAACATTTTGAAAGATTTTTTGACACACTTGATTTGTTAAATGTTTATATTGTAGCTTGTGCATTTTTGTCTTGTAGAATAAAATTCTACTGAGTTCATGCACTTTTTCAAGTATTGAATAATTAATCCAAACATGCGATATTCCAAAATGCACACAGTGCTTCACACAGGTTTGAAATATACTTGCTGTGGTCACCGGATAAAACACCTTTTACCCACGTCACATAAACGGTTAATTACATGCAACAAACAGAACATAATTACATTTTTAACAATATTTTTGTTTATTAATAAACGATTATAAAATTTATCTTTTTAGTGGGTAAAAGTAAAAATACTATTAAATAAATTAAAAAAGACATAAATTATATCTCTTATTCTATTATAGTATTCCAGAAGCGCATGTGCACCCACTGACAGGTAAAATCTGCTTTCTTGCATTCAGGTTCAGGTTGCTTTATTGGCATGACATTTAAGACAGTATTGCCAAGCGATTTAGATGTATAAGATATGCTATATATTGACATCATCAAATTAATAAAATATACAACAAATGAGAAATAAATGCGAGAAAAAAGGAATAAAAACAGACTATATCTTTAAAATGTATAATAATTACAAGAATAAAATGTGTAGATTATTTAAAAATGACAAATTTCTAATGCTGTACAAATATTTTGCAGCCAATTTAGATTTCATCCTCTGAGTATTACAGGGTGTTTGCGGGATCTTAAAAAGTATTAAAAGTTGATAAATTAATTATGAGAAAATGTAAAGCGTTTAAAAGGTAATAAAGTCCTAATCACGTTTTGTTAAACTGTTGTCCGAAGTGTTTGACTCCAAAAAAGCATTATATTTATGTTCCTCCTGGGCTTCTAATATTAACGGCATGCTCGATCCACCCGATTGGTTTGGGCTAGGGTGTGTAAGGCCAACCTCCTTCGTTCGGGGGATGTCACGTAATTTACGACAAACGCGAAAAGATGATCTGACGCTCTTTACATAAAGCGTAACCATAGAGCGAAACAGACGGCAAAATGGGAAAATGAAAGCTTGTATTCTCCTGGTCGGAGAAAGACGAGTTTACACAGTGGCTGAAACCTGTCGCTGAAAACAACTGCGTAATTTATTATTTTGAGCTTTGTTTCTTCTGAGCTTATTTGAGTTCTGTTTCATGGTTGTGCTCCATTGATTCATTTAACTACAGCTGTTTATTAAGTAAAGGTTTAATACTGATTAGAACTTGAAGTGGCGATGAGGTCTAAAAATATTCTGAGAAGGTCTTTAACATCAAATTCTCAAAAAGGGAAGCCTCTGTGGGTCTGCAGAGCACGTGAGACTTCTGTGGGAGTGTTGACAGATCTTGCGCAGTACAAAACATGTAAGCAAGAGAAGATTTTTCACTACGTAATCTATCGCAGATGTTCGATTATATTGGGCGGATACAAAAAAAAAGTGTAAAAGGATAAAAGAATAAGTGTCACCAAATGTTCTTGAGCAGCCGTTAATATACCTGGGTGGCCTGCCCATGTAAGGTCTATGTGGGAATCACTGGCGAATTTAAGTTAATGAATTGAAAACGCTATTTTCTCCTGAATGTCTTATCTGATTAGATCCTGTGTTTTTAATTGAATGTAAACCTCAAAAGGCAGTGCTCATGTGCTTTTCAAATTTGCGCTTGACACCTTAAGAGGACAGGAGTCAAGTTTAAGAGATGGTATGTTTAGAGAGAAGCCGTTTCTGGATTGACCTCAGCGGTGGACAGTGTGATAAGTGTGCGTCCATCCAACGGTGCAAAAAGTGGAAACAATGTTTCACGGAAATTTGCAGTAAATGTGAAGATATGAGTGCGTGTCTCTACATTGTAGAAAGACACCTGTCCTTCCTCGTAGTCAAGGTAGACTCCCAGCTTCTTAGGAACAAGTGTCAGAGGCAGCTCGGTCTCCGGCTTGGTGCATGCATAAAACTGCCTTGTGCTTTTCCATATTGTCCAAAAGCCCTCAGAGGGGTTCATAGGGCTCCTGCCGTGCCTTTTAGAGGAGGCAGTGGTCACTCCGATACGCCAGTAGCCCTTGTTGGCAATATCTACTTCCCAATAGTAGCGACCGGAGGTGAGCCCTTCCCAACCCAGGACACACGGCCAGCTGTCGAAGCGCTGCTTGCTGAACGACACTTCAGTTTCACTCAGAGCTTCCTGTACCTTCTTCTTATCATCTGAGAGCTGTAACCATGGGTGGTTAGTCATTGGGTCCAGTGAGATGTCCACTGAACAGAGCATGTGTTAAAATGAAACAAGTGCGAAGGTTAGGCTTCATCCAAAACTAACTGGTAGGTGAATCACAGTAAATAGCTGAGTCAATGATACCTGAAGCACTGCGGATCCATCTCCACACTATGGAAAACAGTAATAAACATTATTACCGCAGTGATATGATTAACATAATTATATTTTTAGATGTTACCATGTCAAGTTATGCAATGAAGATAATCAGTACCTGAGTTTGGAATGTACTTTGGTGTCTCTGTCAAAACAAATCAGGCGTACTGAATTAAAAAGTGTAAATACTGTAAAAATTACATCATAATTTACATTAATAGTACATTTTTATGACCACTAGTGTAGTTAGGTGTTAGTGTTTGCCAAATCAGTGCTGATTCTCAAAGGCATGAACCACCCTTGAAGATGTCCCATGGTACCTGCCACTGAGATCATTCAAGTGCTGTATGTAGGGAGGTGGAGGTGCTGTAGGTTGAAGGAGTTCATCCAAAACAACCCACATATGCTCAATTAAATTGAGATCTGGGAAATTTGGAGTCCAGAGATTGATTGAATTCTTCATCAAATTCTTCAAACCATTCTTAAATAATGTGTGCTGTATGGCCAAGTTCATTATCCTGCTGAAAGTCTGTTATCTTGACACTTTCACCAGTGAAACAAATCATTAATGCATGTTCCTGATATGCAACAATTTGTCAAATTTACGTCCACCTGACCCAGGATTTCTCAAAAGAACACTGCAGTTCATCCAGGCCCTAATCGCTTACCTATGTAAAGTGTGCACATGGACAGACTCATTGGACTGGTGATCACCTACAATTGCTCCAAGGTGTAAGGGTGTTTTCTCACCTGCCTTATTTAGTTTGAATCGCACTAAAGTTTGTGTTCCCTCTTGCGGTTCCTTGGGCAGGTGTGAATGTAGCAATCGGACCAAAAAAAGGAAAACAAGACCGCCTTAAGAGGTGATCTCGGTACACTTTCAAACGAAACGTGGAGCGGTTCATTTGTGGTGAGAGCATGATCCAAACTAGAACAGACCCAACCGCAAAAAGTACTGCGCCTTTTTGGACTAATCAGGTTGCCATAGTCTGATGGGATGAGGAGGAAAAATATTTGTTTGCAGTGCTAAACCAAAAATTTAATCGGAGAGAGAGAGAGAGGGGGGAAAACATTACTTGATAGATCATTGGTAATATGTCCAGAAGATGACCTTGTCGCAGTTTAGCTAAATTAATTCACGCCTTCTCCTGAAGTGACTTGTGATGCGCCTTTTGCCTTCGCCAATTGCAATGCATTAAAACACTGTTTTCCAGCTGCGCTTCATTTTTCGAAATGTATAGGTTTTTTAATTGATGTATGTAAACTATATAGTATACTATGACCAGGGACACAATCAGCCAGCGCAGTCGTCCCTCCATAGAAAAAAAAACATTTTGTGTCTGCCGGTTTGTTTACTTGCGGGAGTTCCATTGGCATTTTCAAGCACGTTATTTCTGACAAATTGAAAATCAGTTTAGGAAATATGTTCAATAACATCACGTGACATGGCTGCATTTTGGTTCTTTTTAACTGGTTCGGACTAAAGCAATCAGTGTAGTGTGAAAAGGACCCAAAAACGACAGTGTATCATTTGTTGCTTTTGGTCTGGACCAAATGAACCGAACCACAGAATGTGAAAGCACCCCAAATTTGACTCTCACATGGTCATTATAGACACTTTTGTTTGTGGCCATGTTTGGCGGTTTTGCTGTGAAAGGAGTTATGGTATGTCCTTCCCATAACATTCAGTAAAATCAGTGCGACTTGTGCCACAGCAGATCTGTTGGGTTGGATGTGTCGAGACAGCCATTGTTGCCCATGATGAGTCTTGGGCCCCCAACATTCAGCTCCTTTGACCACAGAAGGTAAATTCTCACCTATGCTGACTGGAAATAGTTCACAAGCCTTGCCATTTCAGAAAAACCATATGCTAGTCTCCTTTCCAAATCAATTTGGTCTTTGTCAGAGTCACTAAATCTTTATTTCTGCTGCTGTTATACAGAATAATTACGAGAGCAAGATTGATGACTGCCTTATCTGTACCCAGACCTTTATGTGTAGCCTTATAAGGAGATTATCAAGAACACTGTGACCAGTCATAAGTGTAAATGATCACTTTTGAACTTAATGTAAATTAATCTGTATTTCAATCTATTGAAGGTTGAAAATAAAAGATTCACCTGTTTTCCAAGTACGATGTTTACTGAGGAGCCATAGCTGTGGAACGACACCCTTAAACACACATAAAAATACACACATTATTTCAAAAGTAAATCTACTGCTATGCAGTTATAAAATGTGCTCGAGTAATTAGTGGTTCATTTCACTGTGGCGACCACTGAAAAAGATGAGTAAGCCGAAAAGAAAAGTGAGTGAGTGATATTTACTGCTTACATTTTTTATATACCAATATTATTATAGTATTGAAGGGGTAAGTATTGACATGTTTTACACAGCTGATGCACTATTCAGCTGCAACCCTGTACTGGAATATTATAATTTTATTATTATTAAATATTTAAATCTATATTTAAAACTTTTAAATGTTTTTTTTATCATGACATGAAGTCAATGATTATCTAATTCATCAATAACTGTCTCAGCAACTTTTTTTCTAAAGAGTAAAACTGATAACTGGTAAAGAGTATCCCAAAACACACACTTCCCAAAGCACCAATTATTATAGAATAACCACTGCACTGCAAGAGCTGTGTTGTAGCTGTTCATAAACTATGCCAAACTGTTTACATAAGCAGCGATAATAATATCTCCTGATAAAATAGTTGATTCAGTTTATGGTCGTAAACTATGGACTCCAGCTAGATGGTGTTGTTTCATACCTGGCTGTCCTGCTTCAGCAAAGACCAAGTTATGAACTCCAGAAACGGCAACAGAGTCAAGATTTTCCTCTTCTTCAGTTCCAGCTGCTTGAGAAATTGGGCCAATTCTTGTCTCATCACCCCACAGCGCTGCACACAGGTATAAATATACACACTTTATACAAATTAAGCATGGGCGATAACCAATTTCAAGGATAAGTCAAGGTTTTTTAGGACAACAGTATCTCCAGCAGAAAGGATATCCAAAGATTTCATTTTAAATTCCATGAAAGTGTTTTTGAAACTAGCAGAAGTCAATGATTCATTTCAATTATTTAACCTGACTTGTTTACTGCTCCAAAATATTATAAATGTTTCTCAAAATAAAATATATTGTGTTGAAAGGAGAATTTTTTTTTTTTAGCCCAGACATTTAAAAAGAATATATTAGAGCAGTAATCACAATACCGTCAAACTTGATCATTTTATCCAAGGTTATCATACTGTCAGAATTGTATACCGGCCCATGCCTAATACACATACATTATCAATTATGTTTATGAGGTCAAACTCAGTGTCCGCACCTCTGACACGGCCTGCAGCTCTTTAGCCCATTCCATGATCTTCTGCTCCATATGCTTGGCAGAGTCAGCCTGGCTCTCTTTCTGCTCCCAGGAGGTGTCTCTTTCTTTTCTCCATGTACCCTCACTAAACAACTAGAGGTAGGAGAAAAGAAACTTATCATTATATGCAATAACCTTCATGAGAACAGTCCATGATGTCTGTTTGCTTACAGATGTTTGGTGTCTTTTTAACTGTATGGGTAATTTATAGTGATCGCAAAGTGAGATCACTGAACTTTTAGGTTTCTGGTGTATTTTTTTAAGGGATTGTTCACACAAAAATAAAAATTCTGACATCAGTTACTCACCCTTCAAAAAAAAATTGAGCTGTTGAACGCAAAGCCAAAAAAAAGACTTCCATAGTATTTTTTTTCTTACTATAGAAGTAGATGGATGCCGGCAACCAGTATTTTTCAAAACATCTTCTTTTGCGTTCAGCAGGAGGGGACTACACTTTCAAATATATTAGGAGTATGTTAGACATTTGAAGTACCTAAATTAAAAGTACTTCAACTTATGCAAAAATTATTGTTAATTCTAAAAATGCTGCGTCCCAAATAACAAACTATCCATCTTAAACAGTATTTGAAAATATAATTTGTATGTCCCAAAGCATAGTATGTTTAGAAGAGTATGCCAAAGGTTATTGTTAGATGGTTGACTATTTCCGGTAAAGAAATTTAGGTGTAGAACTGGAAGCGTTCGTACTCTAAAATGTTAATTTTGTCAATTTCATTCTGGAACTGTTTTTCATTTATTTTGGGAGTGTAATTATGCTGTACAATTTTGGAAACATATTGGATTATTTATTAATGATAATATACAACAAGATGTTTCTCTTACTTTTAAAGAAATTATTTTTGGTTATTATGAATCTGCCCCTACTAAGAGAAATGCTTGTTTTGTTATAAATTAAATTTATTTTCTTTGTAAATTCCATATCCACAAATGCAAATTTACTAATACTAAACCATATTTTCCTGTGTTTTTGAAAGAATTTAGTCATTATATACAATTAATTTCATTATCTAAAAATAAGAAAGCAAACAGAACTATTTCATTTTGTAATGACTTTAATTTATGTACTGTTCTTTATTCTTAAATGTCTTACCCTCAAGTTTATATCATGTTCTTTATTCTTTTTTTTTCTTCTGTCTTTCTCTCTCGTATCTCTTTTTCATTGACAATGTAATTCATATTCTGCATTGTAAACATATTGCTACAAACTTGTCAACTGTTTTTTTGCACACAAAAAAAAAAAAAAGAAGAAGAAGCGTTCATACTCTAACCACTAATATTGCCCACACTGCATTGCGCGTTGGACGTGAATTCGATTAGAACGACAAACGCGGGTGAAAAGTGTAAATAAACAACAAACATGACGGATGCACGAGACCAACCGTCAAGTAGACTTCGGTAAAGATGTTTGTATGACTGTTAATTAATATGTAGCCAACTGGAAAATATTTAAATCGCGTTTTCTGTGTTATATTTCATCTGCAACAACAATACTAAACGTTTATAAAGACGTATTTGGACATTAACGTCTAGATGCATAATTACCCAAAGATCTGAGGAGATTTATTTGCAGGAAAGACTCGTGAATGGGAGATTAACCTGCTGCTGCTGCTTCTCTAATAAGGTAGGAGATTAAATATGACAGAACTGTGGATGATGTGTGGATGATTGACAGGGCTCATAACTAAGCAGCAACGATCTGTTAACATGGAAGTAGTAGGCTTCCCAAAGCTTGCATACTCTTCAATTTCTCAGTTACACACTCAAAAGTACATATATTATGCAAGAAACATCTCATGGATGCATTTGGGACACATCATCAGTGATGTATCCTGGGATCATTGAGTGTTTCGGGTCTCTCAACATCATACACTCTCACCCAGGTGACCCAGCCGGGGTTGATCAAGTCCCGACTTGTGTCCCAACAGCAGTCCACGGATCTGCCCTCTTAATCCACAGCCAACTTGTGGCCTTCTCTGCGGCTTCGCTTGCGGATCGAATGGCCCTTTTCTTCGCCACGCCTGTAATGCCCTAACGACTGAGGACTTTGCAAAGTGAACGCCCTGCAAAGCCTCTGCATCCGATTTCTATGGGCTCATAGAAAGTTCTCCAGCCTCTCTCCCTGCACTCCTCCACTAATTCCTGGTACTTAGCGCGCTTCCTCTCATTTGCTTCTTCAATACGCTCTTCCCACGGCACTGTAATCTCCAGAATAATTAGCTGTCTTGAAGCTTCTGAGATAGCTATAATGTCTGGACGGAGACGTGTTGCAGCGATGTGATGAGGAAACCTCAGCTGTTTTCCCAGGTTGACCTCCAGCTGCCAGTCCGAGGCTTTGTGGAGGAGGCCTGTTGTTAATTGTGGGAGGGCCCGGGGTTTTTCTCCAGCTTTGATGAAGTGGACTGCCTTCCTTGGAGCACGATGGTTCTTGCTGGTGTTAATGGCTGAAGCTAAGCTCGCAGCAATTGCCTTAAGCACCTGGTCATGGCGCCAACGATAGCAACCATCACCCAGAGCCTTGTGGCTTATTTTTCCTTCACAAAAAATGTACATACTTTTAAGGTGGAGTATAAGTATACGAATTGGGATGCAGCATTTGTCAAAATGTCTCTAAGTCATGCACTCACACTGTCCACCTTCCTGAGCTCCTGTGCCCACTCAAGGATGAGTTTGCGGCATTGCTCCAGACTGCGTGGCTCTGCAAGCACACTAGCACCCGGGCCTTCATCAGCATTGGCACCAGACTAGAAGACACATTTAAGTGGTCAGTGTTTATTGTGACATTTTTAGACATTAAAGGGTCAGTTCACACATCACAAAATGAAAATTCAGTGTAGTCAGCGGTGCAACATGTAAGTTTCATATTGCCTGTAAACAGGAAAAGAAGACAGCTGTTTTGAACCACTGACTGGACTTTGAACGTCTTGGGACTATTCTGTCCATGGAGGATGAGAGAGCTCTCCAATTTTATGTAAAATATCCTAATTTGTGTTCAGAAAATGAACAAATGCCTCAAAGGATTGGGAGAATAATTAATTACAGAATTTTCATTTTTAGGTGAACTAACCCAAGTGTTTTACTTTCTGCATCGGCATCACTCTCTAGGCATCCAAAAGGGGATGCAACTGTTAAAAAAAAAAAAAGTCTAAAACATAAATCTTTGAAACACAATAATCATTCCTTACCGTTCCATTGTGCATAGTTCAATCATATTCCCAGAGTTACTGTCTTATCACTTATAACTTTATGATACATTAATATGCAATAAACCATTACTGTGTTTAAGATGTTGCCAAGCAACCTTTATGGGCTTTATAAACATTTAAAGAGACAGTTTACCAAAAAAAATCATATATTCATTTACTCGCCCTCATGCTGTGCGCAATTTGAAACATTTTTGTTGGGGTGTTTACATCTATACAAGGCAACAAGTCACTCCTTCAGTCATTTAACTGATTTGATCAATCACCTTGATTCATTCAGGAATGAAACCACAATACAGTTTAAAATGACCTGTGAAATTAAAATAAAAGACTTTAGATGTTAGTTTTAATTAAGTATTGCTAGATTGCTCCAAAACAGTGACAAAATTCACATTAGAAAATATAAAACTTATATAAACATCTTATATAAACATCAGGCTTGCAGTTTGTCACTTTAATGGATCAACAGGTTTTTTTTTTTTCATGTCACTTCATATTTCAGCTTCTCATCAAATCATGACAAATCAATCGAATGCTCTCTAGTGTCTGACATGCCCAGCCCCATTCAAGACGCTTCTTATTTGCTTTTCATTTGACGTGCTTGATCTCATACACTCTCGTCTCATTGGCAGAGCTGTGATATAAACGAAACACTATTGGCTGTTTTGAAAAGGGGAGGAGCTACTCTGTGCCACCCTCTCTTCATTTTTCATTTGAGATGACATCAAACATCACATAAAAACTGCACATTTATAAGCACTTCATCAGACCTTTAAAGGGATAGTTCACCCAAAAAAAAATTCTGCTGTCATTTACTAAACTTTGACTTGTTCTAAAGGTTTTTACATTTCTTTTTCACCCAAAAGATATTTAGATATATTGAAGAATTTTAGAAACCTGTCACCACTGACTCCCATAGTCTTTTTTTTTTTTTTTTTTTTTTATGAAAGCCAATGGGTAATAGTTTCCAACATTCCTCAAAAACATATTCTTTTGTGTTCAACAGTAAAAGAAACAGTCAAACTGGTGGAATAACTGCTTAACTATCCCCTTAACTTCTTGTTTACTGAATCAGTGACACACAAAGTTAATTTGATTCAATGTAAATGTTTAAAGCAAGCTTGTAAATTTTTACAGTATAACTTTTAAAATCGATTCATGTATATAAATAACACATTACCTTGCAGACTTGGTCGACCTGCTGTTTCCACTGAGTGATAAACTTCACACATTCTTGCAGGCTGCGGAGATCCTTCAAATCCTGCAATACAACAGATTAGCAAAAGTCTGTCTTTCTGTCCGTCTTTCTGTCCGTCTGTCTGCCTGTCTGTCTGTCTATTTGTTTATCTATATCCATCTATCCATCCATCCGTCCGTCTATCTATCTCTGTTTACCTTTTGTCTGGGGCTTTGGCTGCTCTTGCTGGGAACTGAGCTGTGAGCCTGAAGACCTTCATCAGGAAGAGTCCAGGTTACAGCTCCAATAGAGTTACTCAAACCGGCTTCAGGCGCCTCATATCCTGTTATACACAAACATATTTACTCTCTGCATTTTAAAGACATGGTATGAATTGTTTTTGAAATCATAATCTCTGAACTTACGGTTAGCTTTCAAGATACTCTTCTTCATAGTGGCTGCACTTTTGAGGACCTCAGCCTTATGAAAAGCATAAACTGTCAGCTCGTCAAATGTTTGAAACATTTCAAATACAAAATACATATAAATATTTATTGTTCAAAACGCCATTTACTTCAACAAATTGTTAGCAGGCTGAAATGATTAAAACACAGTCATATTCCAAATGTACTTACATAAACCAACTAAGCTACAAATTGATTTTGAGTAATTGTTTTTCATATTCATTTAGAAATGATAATTTGTTTTTGTTTCAGTGTAACATAGTATATTTCAGTTCAATAATGTTTTTAAATAGTAATTGTATATTTGAAAGATTGTAAAATAAAATGTATGTTTTAATCCATGTCTTAACAAAAGGCTTGAAAATAGAATTTTAAACCTTATAAATTAAAATAGTTTTTTATTATGAAAATTACACATAAACACTATTTTAATATTATATCAAATCTATGTTTTCTAAATTAGGTTTTGCACAAAAACTGCAAAAAATGGTAACATTTCATTATAATGTTACATTAGTTAATGTTTATGTGTTCATTAACGCAAACAAACAATGAACAATACATTTAATGCAGTATTTAATCATCTTTGTTACGTTAGTTGATGAAAATAAAGTTGTCCATTGTTAGTTCATGTTAACTCACAGTCCATGAACTAATTAAGCACAACTTTGGATTTTAATAATGCAATAGTAAAGGTTGAACTATGATTAATAAATACTGTATAACTAACTTAATACTAAATAAGTTAATAAAAATAATTAAGTAGTCATAATTAGGGCCAGACAGGATCTTCGAACATTTTTTGCAATTTCTGTGGAGATTTTTGTAAAAAAGCTGCAGATTTTGTGTAATGATTTTAGGAGTATCATAACTAAAAACTTCATATATAAAATAAAAAATAATGCATTTTAAACTTTTATTTAGTATTTACAATGCAAATCCAATTAGATTCACTTATCTGGCAAAGCAAGTCTCTCATATAATATATCGACCAAAAGACAGAAAATATAACTTTACAAACTTTATTTTATTGTAAATAAATCATATGAACATTTTCATATTAGTCAGTGAAATTACTGAAATAATTTAACAACTGGATAAATATACACACAATTACACAAGTAAATAAATAAACTCGATGTGCTAAAAATCTGGAAATCTGTGGATTTTTGCATCCTCAGATTCTGTGTGAGCCTAATCATAACTAAGTTATACTGTATAACTGAATAACTAAGTATTGTTCTTTCTTAGTTCTTCAGTAAATACAATAACTAACATTAACTAATGGAACATTGTTGTATAAGGTTACCTGAAAACAATCAAAGACAGAAGTCTAAACAGATTGTGTTCAAATTTTTTGTCAGATTTAGTATAACTGAATAAAACATTTCCAGATTATTTCCTAATATTTTCCAATACTGTAATTTCTGACCGCTATTAAGCTTTTTAATTATGTACATGGTTTGTACAATTCTGATGTAGTAAAACATATTAAAAACCAAAACATATTTATCCTTTATGAAAGCAATCAAACTGTTCCCAATGTCTAAGTATTAAAACATTAAACACATACATACTACATATTTTCCAGCCCTTACCTTCTCCTCCGCGGAAACAGGCCAGCTCAAAAGATCTCTGTTGTGCACACCTGCAGAACCAGCGCACTCCGATTCTGTCCTATCATGTCATCTCTATAGACTAGACAGTGACCTTTGATTTCTAAATCCGCCCTATCATAGACATGATATCTCACCTATCAACTCGTTCAAACTTCTGTTAACTGTGAGAAGGAAGGGCATTGCGATTCATGTGGAATTAAACAGATGTAGATGCTTCATGTGCTTATATGCTTTACTTAAATAAAACAACATGCAAGCAATACTGTTTTAATTTTTTTAAGTAAGTATGCTAAACATTTTTAAATAAATAAATCTATTCTAGATTTGTTATACCACAAAAGCTAGCCAAGTTCTAAGACTTTATAGCTACAGGAAGTTTTTTTTTAATCAAAACGTTATCACTGTGTTTGGCCAAGTTGGTCTCTCCTGCTCCAAAGCTCGAAACTGTTTCCTGATGATTCATTGGTTTGGTAGGCTATAGACATATAAGTACATGCTGATTATGTGTTTTTGTATTATAAAATATCAAATCAACAGGCATAATGAAACTGGTATTGCTCCCTGGTTGTCATTTCAAGATGAAGCACCCTCATTACACAAGTTCTCAAATGACTCAAGTGGCAATTATTAACCTCCATATTTAGGCAGTAAACTGTTTGTTACGCTGTTCAATGGTCTGAAATGTGGATTAATTGAAAAATCATCTGAAACATGCATGAAATATAAAATATCTTAGCAACTACAGTTATAGTAGTAACTTAATACATTAATTTATTAATTTAAATAGATATTTCAGAATGTTCAAAAATGAACATGATTTTCATTTACTCAAATCATTTCTTTAAATCCAATTTGAGGATTTTTTTTTCTGTTTAAATGTTAGAAATGTAATCACTGACTTGCATATTTGTTTTTCCTACTATGGATGTCAATGGTTACTGGTTTTCAACATTCTTCAAAATATCTTCTTTTGTGTTCAACAGAAAATAGAACCTCTTAAAGGTATGGAACCACTTGAGGGTGAGTAATCATCAAAGTCTATGGATGTATGTTTTATGCAATGATTAATAGATTACAGTCTTATTATAGATATGTAAACAATTCTTTAAACCTTATTGATGTGGTGTGTAGCTTCTGATGTGAAGTCTCACATAACTGTATTACCACATAACAATGTCATAATTCATCAGGCACAAATTGTAAAAAAAAATATACAAAATTAATGCAACTCTTAATGGAAATAACTTCTTTCATTGCATAAGGTTGTCGAAACAATGCAATGACTAAAATGTTCACTATTTGACCCTCCGAAGAACTGCATCTCAAATGAAAGATGCAGTTATACAGACATTAAAGCCTTGCTTACTAAAACTGAAACAGCATTTTTTTTTAGTAGGCCTATTTTTCAACATTTAAAGCAGTTTTTAAGGCAGAAGATGGTAGAACATCAGTGTGCTTTCAACCGAGAAACTGCTATTGGCAAAGTTCTTGTTTATGTAATGTTTATTTTCATAGCCAAAAGTCCAGTCGTTTGTCCTTCTCACTGATTTGGCTTGGTTGTGTGGAGGATCAGCCCTAAGATTAATTTACAGATTCATCCTTTATCTTTGCGTGCATGTCCAAGATAAATTCTGATCACACTAAAGGTCACGTATGTATTACATAAGCGTTAGTAGTTTATTTGGTGTCTGTTTGTGCATGTATGATATTGATTTAATGTGAGCCTCAATATATGAA